TAAACATGTGGATCTTGAATTATAGCGCTAAATGTATCTAAATAACTCATGAAATCAGCATAGATGAGATATGATCATTTTTAATACACATTCAAAGCATCCAATCCTAAAATGCGCTTTAATCCATAAGAAAAAGTACAATATTATCTAAATCATTCATCTCGACTTCAACAATAATTCTCACAATTATGGAAATGAATTGTAGTTTTAACAATAGTTAATAATATAATATTTTATATTGGAAAATAAAATATGAATGATAGAGTAAGATGGAAATGAATTGTACTTTTAACAATAATTAATAATATAATATTTTATCTTGGAAAATAAAATATGAATGATAGAGTAAGATAATAGTGGCTAATAAAATAATAATAAATATTGATGAGACGCACTAATTTCATCTACATAAACTCAATTTCTATAAATTTCTATAGGAATTGTAATTTCCAAAACTTAGGCCAAAATAGAATTCATTTCTCAACCCTTTTATCATTCCAAACATAAATTATTGAAATGAAAATCAAAACAGAATTCCAATTCTTCAGTTTTTTTGTCTATCCAAACAGAATTCCAATTCTTCAGTTTTTCTATTCTTCTCCGTTTTTGTGTTTGGGGCCTGTTCATCCCCTCTGCTTTAGAGAGTGTAAACAGCGGGTCCTCCTTTCCTGTTCTTTTTTCCCTTGCTGTAACTCTCTGCTTTTGCTTTGTTTTGATAACTAATAATATATTGGGTGTGCCTACGGTGACATGCATGTCACGGTGACTTGCACTTTCCGGTCGACCTCAGTTAGGATTAGGTCGACCTCATTTAGAATTCGGTCGACCTCATATAGGATCCGGTCGACCTCATTTAGGATTCGGTCGACCTCATATAGGATCAGGTCGACCTAATCTGTTCTTTCAGTGTAAAAACAGTTCTTGGTGCCTACTTTGGATATTCATATCATACAATTGGCTAGATGGAAATTGAAGAATAATGACTTGTTTTGAAGCTGGAGTGTCTCTCTACATATTGAAGTGATTGAGAGCTCGATAGGAAGTCCAGAAGACCATTTTTGAACCTCATCAAAAGGCTATGCCAAAACTGGGAAACTGCCTGGAAATGGCTAAGTCTGGAAACGTGTTTGTGAAGCCTATTTTGGAGCTCAATTCGAGAAGCATGAATGCGAGTCGAGTCCAGGAGTCTCTACCACGTTAAATTAGGTATGTTTTTATACAAATTCAAGGCATTGGATGAAAGATTTGATATCTGTAATGCTTCAAACAAAAGGGTCGAAGTTGCTACGAAGGCTGTTTTCTGGTAGACTTCGAGCACAAGCAAGCTGCCAGAAAAACAGCCTTCGTAGCAACTTCGAGCCTTTTGTTTGAAGCCTTAAAGATATTCAATATTTCATCCAATGCCTTGCCTTTGTATAAAATAATACGGAATTTAACGTGGTAGAGGCCCCTGGACTTGACTCGCATCCATGCTTCTCAAATTGAGCTCCAAAGTAGGCTTGACAAACACGTTGCCAGACTTAGCCATTTTCAGGCAGTTTCCCAGTTTTGGCATAGCCTTTTGGTCAGGTTCAAAAATTGTCTTCTGGACTTTCTATTGAGCTCCCAAGTAATTTAATGTGTAGAGGGACACTTCAGCTTCAAAACAAGCCTTTAATCTCCAATTTCCATCTAGTCAATTGTAAGATATGAATCTCCAAAGTAGGCACTATGAAACTGTTTTTACACTGAAACAACAGATTAGGTCGACCTGATCCTATATGAGGTCGACCGAAAAGTGCATGTCACCGTGACATGCATGTCACCATAGCAAAGTCCTAATATATTTCACCATTATCATGAAATTCATTTTCAATTCTAAATTTTGAATTCTGTGTAAATAATGTTAGTTTAACAATTCCAAGTAATTGAGATGGAATTTCAATATTGAGATGGAATTTCAAAATGAATTCCATAAGTAGTTTACTGATGATTATGATAAAATGACATACTATCCTTCATTATTAAGTAAGATACCCCTATATATAATTTGTATATATATAATTTGATCATCTATAATTTGGCACTAAAATCCCATATTTGCGCGCCTTACATTCCTCGCTCATACGCTACATAACCTTCTATATCTCTTTGCTCGAGAGAAAATGAGTTCCGGTGAAGGTTTTTTGAAGATGGATCTTCAAATTGCTCACTAGTTTTTATGAAGTTCGTCTTTTTGCTTGGACGGATTGGTTGGATGTTAACTTTAAAACTTGCATTCTAGAAAATGATTTTTTTTAGGAGACTGATTTTCAATGAGTAATAGTAATTTTCTTTGTGCTGGAAATTAACAAGGTATAATTAAATTTCTTAAATATAATTCAATGATGAACATTTTACAAGCACCACTTGAGAATTCAATTTAATTCATTTCTAAAGATTTGAATATCACATTACAAACATAGAAATTCATTTTACAATGAATTCTACACATTTTTCTCTCTTTACGTTTGTTCGCTTTGCTCTCACAGCTTTTTAAACAAATTGGACTCGCCTTGCTGAGGGACGACAAGGGTTTTTTATGTTCCCTCTTCCAGTGAAGCCTGCAAGAATTGGGTGTTGCAGAGGACTCCTTGGATTATCAAGGATAAGATCCTCCACTTGCCTGCAAGAATAGTGGTTTTCATGCTCGATTCGTGGGTCGTACTAGCAATATGGTAGCCCATTCAGTGACTAGGAATGTCATTTCTTTGTCTCCAGTTTCGTGTCGATTGTATGATTTTCGTGCCTGAGTTGGATCTAGGGTGTAATCCATTATCTGTTTATCAATCAATATGATTTTCTTTTGTTAAAAAAAACACGAAAATAGAGATTTTTTATGGTTGTAAAAATAGAGATTTTTACGATTTATATATAACCATACTTAAAATTGGATTTGCACCGTAAAGAAACATAGTTTGGAGTTTAGACGCTAATATGAGAGCATGTGGCTTCCTAGCTAGCCAGGACAACATCGCCACGCCAAGACCAAGGTAGTACGTGCAACATGCAAAATAATATTATTAATTCTAATAGTTATTAACTTACTATATATTGTCGTAGCTCTATTATATAGAAATTAACAAGTAGAGCACTAAGCCGAATTGGATTATAACAACCGCCAACTTTGATCAATCAACCTATTTTTCTGCTAATTAATCTGTTTCTTCTTTCTTAATGCACATTGTCGCCGTCTTTCGAACAAACTATTCTGCAAATGGTGTAGCACATGATGCTACCAATTCGAGCTTTTCCTTGTTAATTATTCTGCAGGGATCAATTTGTTGGGCCGGAGAGACCCACAGACTTGTATCAAAACCGGCTAATTAATCCATAGTTTTTGCAAGCAATAGATCATTTAATTACTTTACCCTACATTTTGGTCTTTTCCCTTTTCAACAAAATTAGGCTGGGATTAAATATTGGTTTAAATCGTTATATATACCGATTCATTCCAGTTAGTACCAAGAATGTTCAGTTTCGTCACGTCATCTGACTTTTATGCACACACTTTCAACTTGTTAGGGGCTGAATTCTTAATTTCCACCCCTCAAATAGGATGGTTAAAGACACACCTAACCTTTATTCATAAATTAAATGTAGGGTTTGTATTTCAACCAAATCAAAGTTAAACCATTAATCATGCATAATTATATTTGAACATTTGCTATTAAAGTGAGGCCAAATATAGCAATGAGAATTAATGGTTTTGTTTCCTCTGTCTTTTTAGTTGACTTTTATCTTCTTTGTTATAACTTGAATTTCAAAAAATTGCACAGATGAAACGAGTTCATTGCGATCTACAAAATGATATTCATTTTAAATATATTTTGAGAACAAAATTTCATACAACTCATGCCACTGGTTACCATCCTGGATCACTTGATACCAACTTCGTTTTCAACTCAAACTTTGAAAAATCTCAGAAGGAATGAGTTCATCATCGAGATATATTGTTATATCTATAAATTTTTAGGAATTTTTTTGAAAAACAAATATAATACCCTGGTATATGATAGGAACTGGTGCTATGATGTGATGAAAGTTGGTAAATGGCGGTTTGATACATTCTCACTATTATGTACGCAAGTATTCTATATTCTGCTATGTTCATACCACCATGATACTCTTTCATACTACATGATATAATCTTATACAGTATCAAACATTACAACATGGTATGACCTGGTAATAAATGTCACATTTTTTTTAAAAAAATAAATCAAAGTGAATGTCATTTTGAAGAAAACAATTAATCTGTGAAAAAAACACGACTTAAAACGAAAGAGATATAACCCATTAAAATTAATTGAAAAAAACAATTACCTTCCATAAACATAAATCATAGTTTTAAAGTTTTGCATTGGTTATTGATGGGTTGCTCTCCCTATTTTCTGGGTTCATAAAAGTATATACTCCCAAAATTCAACGGGAAAAATACTACAAAATAACCCTCGGCTACACAACTGGCTTACTCACGTAAAATCCCCGCATATGCTTCTCACCCGTCCCTTACGTCGACGTTTCTTCCAAGATGTCGTATTTCATTTTCTTTATTAAAGTTCAAGTAATTAGATAGATTTTAATCACACTCCAGACTCGGCAACTTTCAGCCAATCACGAAAAGTATAATTAAGCCAATCAAAAAATGAAGTAAAGAGCAGCCACAATCAGACAAAGAAACCCCAGAAAAGCAAGTCAGGCTAGAAAAACAGTCAAACCACCAAACATGAATCCAACGGCTTCCATCGAAGATCACGCGGCTGCCTGTAAGAAGATGCACAACTTCCCCCCTGTACCCGCATCCACCCAATTCTCCCTCCGTTTGTCCCATTAGTCCATTACCCTTATCGTCAAAAAGCCCACCCAAAGAATCATCGCCCATCCAGCGGGCCCATCACATTCCACATGTTCCCTTCCACCTCTTTAATTAAATAAAATAAAATTTTCACTTCAATTATTACAGGTCCGGCAGAAAAAAAAAAATCAACAGCTCATTTACGATAATACCCTCATCCCTGTCCTATAAATCACTACGCCATGGCTCCCTGATTCCGAATCCCTCGTTCGAGCTCTGAACTTCATTTTTTTCCTATCTCCTTTTCTTTTCTCGCTTTCTGATTTTCTTGTGGTAGGTGAGATTGGAGTGGAAAAATATTTGGTTAGAGAAGATGTTGGGAGTATTCAGCAGCGCGATCGTGTCCCCGCCGGAAGAGCTGGTGGCCGCCGGAAGCAGGACGCCGTCGCCGAAGATGACGGCCGACTCACTACTGAAGCGGTTCGTCGACAGCAACTCCTCCGCCGTTTCGATCCAGGTCGGAGACAACGCTCAGCTGGCTTACACTCACGCTAACCAGTCCCTGCTTCTCCCCAGGTATAAACAAAGTTCAGTGCCGACGGCAAAAAAAAAAAAATTCCTAGTTGGTCGAAATTAGTTTATCGGTAGAGCTTTCTCTTACTACTTAGGCACCGGCACCGCCCTCTGGTTGACTCGGTACAAATGGTTACGAACGTTAATTTCATCGTTGAGCTTCTTAATCCCGCTTTTTTCCCTTATTTAATTGAATAAATTATTCTACTGAAATGGCGGTGGGGAATAGAGAGACGCCGCCGGCGGTCATGGTTTTCCGGGGAAATGGATATTTTGTCGGTAGCGCGGAGCGGAACTTGTGGAGTGCGGGTGACGGATACCTCTAGAAGAATAATAACAAGAAAAGAGAGTCATAGAAAATAAAAAACAAATTAGGAAAATATGGAAGATTGAGTCAGGACTCGACACGTGTGCTGATCTACCACGTGAACGGCCCGATCTATTCCCCCCATTCGAGTGACTTTGTCTCTTTCTTCCCGCGGTTGTTGTAGAATGGGTCCCACAAATACCACCGGCGGTGATAAACTGCTTGGTCGCGGAAAGAAATCGCTAAACTTAACATGGTCCGTCAGTTACAGTGATCGTCGCCAGAGCATCAACGACGACAAAGGATTCTGTGTTTTCTATTGTAGAGTAGTTTACTAGGTATTTATTCTCGTCAGCATATATACCCTTCACTTTATGGTGGAATCTGAATCTTTTAACTTTTCATTTGCCAAATTGATAACTATTCTGCTTAGATGAACTGATTAAGAGTAATTAGATGTGAGATTAATATTTGGTTCCCCAGTTATTAACCTTCTAATCCGGATCATTGATCCGGTGATTAGTGGATTATTACTGATTAAGAGTAGATTACAGAGACCCAGAAGTGGCTGGTGGGTGAGGCCCTTTATGCAGCCATACTATTTCTTGCTCTTTATCACAGATCATATTTGGGTTCCAGTGTGGCCCTTATACCAAATTCAGGTTTGTTTGTGGGTGGCGTATGCAATTTCCTTTTGAGAAAGATAATAATGACCAATTTCGTGGGGTATAGCTGGGATCAAGTGACCTTCAATCATGTCATGAAAGTCATCTTTATGGGTAATGGGATATGGGCAAAAGAACAGGGGACTTTATGATAAGGATAAGGTAACTTCCGATGGTGACCCGCATGACCAGAAAGATCAATAATGTTATGTCTGCCACCAAAGTTAATTACTAGGGTGAGATGTATGAATCTTGGTTTCATGTTGGTTAGTTGGTTTATGGGGTTTGATTGGAATTTTGCAGATCGTTTGCAGTGAAGGACGAGATATTCTGCCTGTTTGAAGGTGCACTGGACAACTTGGGGAGCCTGAGGCAGCAGTACGGCCTAGCCAAATCTGCAAACGAGGTTGTTCTTGTGATCGAGGCATACAAGGCGCTTCGTGATCGGGCGCCTTACCCTGCAAACCACGTTGTGGGGCATCTCAGTGGCAGCTTTGCCTTCATCGTCTTCGACAAGTCCACCTCCACCTTGTTCGTCGCCTCTGTAAGTACTTACTCCATCTCTTTTACATCTATCTCACAGTCAAGAACTTGCTAGTGTAAGGTTCGTGAAGTTAATTGGAGTGGTGGTGGGTTGTTGTGTTGCAGGATCAATATGGTAAAGTGCCACTTTCCTGGGGGATCACTGCTGATGGGTATGTGGCGTTTGCTGATGATGCTGAGTTGCTGAAAGGTGCCTGTGGCAAGTCCCTTGCTTCTTTCCCTCAAGGTATCTAATTTGCTGGTTCCTTACTTGTTCTTGTATGTGAAATTGAGAGTCCTTATGCGGTTATGCCTAATAGCTGTCTGTCTGCATTGAAATTGGGTTTTGCAGGATGCTTCTTCTCCACGGCAGTTGGGGAGCTGAGGAGCTTCGAGAATCCTAAGAACAAGATCACTGCTGTGCCTGCAAAGGAAGAGGAGATATGGGGTGCAACCTTTAAGGTATCAAATAGCTAGGACACAACACAAATGGTGGTGGTTTTAAAGTGGTTGCGTTGCGTTGGTTTCGATCGATCGCTGATGGGAATCCTGTGTTGTGTATGATCAGGTGGAAGCAGCAGTTCTTGCAGGGTCTAAATAGAGGGAGAGATTGAGGGTGTGTTTGATGGAGAGAATTATCCAGCAACTGAAGAAGAGTCTAATTTATGTAAATACCTACTACCAAAGGGGAAAAAGTGGAAGCAGCCAGTACTGATCTGTCGTCTTTTTAAGTATATGCGATACTTGGTGTAATGTTTATCTCTGCTTTGAGCTGTAGGTCTGTTAATTGGGTTTGTGGTTGTTGTTGTTGGTGGTGGTGGTGTTTGAGTGTTTGTGTACAGCAGCCTGTGTCCTTTTCCAGCTTAATAAACGAAGCTATGGTTCATCCAAGTTTGTTTGTTTGGTGCGTTTCTGGAAATGGTGGATTCAACAGAGAGGTATAGAAATTAAGAACATGTCAACCACCAAACCTGTATATGGTGTTTGTTGGGTTTCACGGAATCTCCAACAGTCTTGTCAGTTACACCGGACAGGACAGAGACTGATTCCAACTTTATTTGTAGTTAGCCTGACGATTCTCCCATTTGGCATCGGTTTTGACGTGCAAACCTTGAAATGAAGGTGCAACCACCGATTAACAACGACCACGGGCTTTTATTTTTGGTTTAATACACTTGCATAGCCATAACTATGCACGTTTTGACAAATATAGCCAAATTTTGAATAATACACTAAAATAGCCATTCCATCCATAAGTTTAACGGAACAGTGACACATGCTGACTGGACAAACGTCACTTGCTGATGTGGCTGACTTTTCATCTTGATCTTGCCAAGCTGGAAATGACTTATTTATTATAATATTAAATGGAAAAAAGAAAAAATAATTAAAAATAATAAAAGAGAAATGTATATCATCGCCGCTTGACCTTCCCTGCAACTGTCATGGCATTCCTCCGTCGCCGCTTCATCTACTCTTCTCCACAAATCTCCAATATACAAAACCAATGGAACAAAAATTCCACAATTCAAAAATCCCAAGTAGCTCGGGGAAGGCGAGAACAGAGGTATAAGGGGTTGGTGGTGGAAGAAGGAGGAGCGAGTCGGCGATTCTCAGATCGCTCTCCCTCTCTCCACCTATACATCTCCCTCTCCGCGGCTAACCTCCTCGCATCTCTCGATGGATTGTGTTATGGAATCAATGACCCTGGTCTCCCATTGGTTGCGGTGGTTGTTCTAGGGAGCAAGTGACGGTGGTGGTTCCGTGAGAGCTCGTAGCCAATGCGAGAAAGCGGGTCAGTAAGAACCATATAATCACACCCTTCTTCTCCCTTTCAATCGACCAAACACAGCGGAGAGGGAAGGAACTGACGAGAGCTGCTCGTTTCAGTTTTCGTTGCAGCTGCTCTCCTATTCCAGATCTGGTCAAAATCGCACACAACCTCCAAGCTCTATGGATCTGTAAAAGCGACAGAGGAGTGATGGTGTTGCGGGTACAGAAGCGGGAGGCGAGAGTGATGGAGGTGATTAGAACGAGGATGTCGATGGAGACTCCGATTCCGCATCCTTACCCGCCGATGTTCTGGGAACAGAGGAATCTGCCGCCATAGCGGTGCCCACAACTTCACGGCAGCTCTCCAAATCCCCCTACTTCTTCTGACTTCAGATCTGAACTCCCAAATTAATTTGAATCCCAGAAACCCTAGTGGAAAAGAAGGAAGAGACTGGGAGGTGACCAGCACCCGATTCCTCGGACAGTCCACGACCAACTCGAGCGATGAGTTGCCGGTCAGGTCGCCGACGCCGCCTTCGACAATGGAGACGATGACCGGCCGACGGGATCCCACTTTGTGCATGACTCGACTCTACTGTCACCCTAGGAATTGGCCAAGTGAAACCACTTCCTAAAGCGTAGTATAGCGGGTTAGGTTTATATGTCAACCCGGGTCCTAGATTTGCTCACTACTCAATGAGTTCTTGTTATCTAGCAATAAAACTGGAGTGCAAGTCTAAACTACCAAACAAACAAAGCAAGTAAACTGGTTGTATTCAGGTTAAAGAGGTCACCCGGATATGGTTCCCCCTAGTCTGCAGTTAAGCCGGATTGTAATTACCAAGTTCAGTTTCTATGAAGATTATACTGCGGAAGGTTCTTAAACAGCCTGAAGTCTCGACTAAAGGTCTTCAGACCCTCTCAATCTGACTCTCTAGCGGGCGACTAACCTCCACCGGAGTCGACAGATTGAGGCCCTAAGAACAAAACCTCCACTACCGGAGTAAATCCGGTACAGAATAGTGAGTTGGCTCCTCGACTAAAGTCACCAACTCCCTACCTTCAATCAAGGATACTCTATTAACCTAGGCAGATATTCTCATTCTAGGTTAAAGCAGAAACAACAGGAATTTGATCAGGATTCAAGTCATTCAATCATAAAACCTCAATCGAATATAATCAATCACAGAATCAGTACTTGGGTTCATACAATCAATCTCAACATACAGAACTAGGGTTTCCCACACCCAGATGAATGGGAGAACTACTCCATGGAGAGAGAAGCAAAAGCAGAATCAGACGCGGAAATCATACTGTGAAGATGGATTTCTGCTCCTGGACGTTGAATCGGCACTTCTCCAAGCTCAAACCAAGCTCCAATGGTGTTGAAGATCGATCTAGGGCACTTGGAGACTCTTGTTCGTCGCTTTCTCTCTCTAGGAATCGCTCTATCTCTCTCAAAACTCGAATCCCCTCTCAATTTGGCTGAAATCTGCTAAAAGGGCATCATTGGCCAAAACACGGTCGAGGGCACGGCCGTGTTTTGCCTCAGCCCGCCCGTGTTTTGCCTCAGCCTTAAAAGCACGGCCACGGGCAGCTTGAAAACACGGTCGTGGTTCAGGCTAAAACACGGCCGTGCTTTCCTCAGGCCTGCCACGTGTTTTTTAGGTGTGCACGCCACCCTTGGAAGCCTCGGCCTAAAAAGCACGGTCACCGGAACACGGCCGTGTTCTGAGGGCCTCCTGCCCGTGTTTTGGCCCTGGCTCGTCCAAACGACTTGCAAACGATCCGAAACTCTTGCTTGGCCTTCCCTTTGACGCCTGGGACCCTGAAATAGGACAAAGTAACACAACCCGGCGTAAAATAGGCCAAACCACACAACCCTGCTCCGCAAATGGATAAGAAATAGGGGTATAAAATCATGTAATTATATCGTTATCAAACTCCCCCACACTTAACCGTTTGCTTGTCCCTAAGCAAACCAAGTCAGACACCAGGTAAGCTTGAGACATTTCAATCAAGCAGGCCTCAAGGGCAAAATCGCATCGGCATAAAACACGTGGATCATACTGGCTTTCGATCATCAACACATGGCAACTCGAACGACAACCTAGACAACCCACCACAGATGACATTCGAGTGCAAATAGAGTCGAGCAAAGGAAGAGTTCTTTCATGTTCACCAACCAACATAGACTTGACTCACTCACTTGTTCAAACCAGTCATATCATGCACAAAGCTCAAGCCATCAGAATTAAGACCGAGCAATCTAGGTCCTCACCAGGGTAAAGAGTATAGAGAAAATGAAGAAATGAATCGCTCACTCTCGACCAGTGGGGTCAGGACAATATGATGCGAAAAATGCGCATGCTTCTTCTCTCATCCCTAACGTCTCTTCACCATGAATGCAGCCTCTAAATGCTAGAGTTCACAAGGGGGTGTCACCACTAACTAATCCGGAGGTCTTAGACACAGGTTCAAATGACTGGCTAGGGTCTTGGACATGGGGAAAAGGCCTTTTAGGTGGTGGCAGTTATAGCACAAGGTTCCACAATTCCAAACACACAATCACAGTCAAACAACCCGGTATTTTTCTTTCTGATATCCTGCATTACTCAATATCTTAAGAGCACAAGAGTGAAGGAGGCATAAACATCAGTATTTCCAAGCCAGACTGCTAAGAAACACTACTTACTGGGCATTATTCAGATTTTTAGTAGTGGCTCTCTTTGCTTTCAATTTTTCTTTTGTTTTTCTTTTATTTTTCTTTTCATTTCTTAAGAGAGCCACCACTTCTGCACATATTTCAAACATCTGCCCAACTTTTAAGCACTACCTCCAACACTCACATAGACTTTAGCAGAACAGCAGAGAATATATAAAAACCACTCTGTGGAACCTTCTAAAAGATGCAACAAGGTGATTTTTCATTTCAGACCGAAAGAAAGGATAACACACGGCTCAAAGGGGCTGACTAGGGGATATGACACATCAGGACAGTCAGTTTGGGGCGTGGCTAATCCTATGCCCCCATCATTTAGCTAGTGACAACGTGAATGCTACTACACATCATGGAAGAGGGATCTATCGCACAAGAAAGAAACGAGCAGGCTCAAATCTCACATGGCTACCTATATGCTCTATCTCACATTCTGATTCCCTGAACTAGATGCATAAATGAACTGTCAAAAGCAAGTGATCAAATACAAGTCGCAGTTGGTAAGCAAACAGTCGAAAGCTAAACCCCTACACAACTCTACTACACATCTCAGTCATCGTAATAGGCTATCTTAGATCACACTCAAGTTGTCATGCATCGAGTCAAAAGCCATAATTCTCTAATCACATCCACAATGCCAATACGATCAAATATCAAGCAAACAGCCGTGCTTGGAGCCCTCAAATCTAAAGATTTGGACAGTGGACTAGGCTCCAAGCACCTATACACCCGTTCCAAATAATACAAAGAACCCCCCCACACT